AAGCATAAAATTTGGTACATATACTCTTCAAACCCCTCTCTTTTCAAAAATAACGCTAGCCACGCAAAATTCCAAGATGGTGGCCCCAAAATCCAAGATGTCCGCCCCAAAATGTGGTTTTTCCTTTATAACTCAAAATGACTTGATTTTATGCCCCATACATATATTGAAGTTTGAATATAAAGTTGGGTATTGTGGACATTTTGGTACCTAGTACATCTCTATATCCATTACGGTTCTTGAGATACAGCATTTAGAGACTTTGTAACATCGGCGCTACAAATTATACTTTGTATAATTTGTAACACCGATTGTTGTTATGTGCATATAGTTGCATGAAAATATCATTTCCATTATCTGTTATTTTCATGAGGGTTATAACATTAAATTTGAAAAACAAGATGGTGTCCAAGATGGCTGCCATTGCCTTGAAGTAATCATGAATTCAGCAGAGATGAATCATGAATTCAGAAGGATGAAACTAGTCATAAAAGGTTAAAAATTAGGCATTTTGTGACAATTTTCTGATTTTTGTTATGGTGTTAGGTATGTGTATAAGGTTTTAAAAAACCACCACTGTCTGTTGGACATTTCGAAGACATTTGTTTCGCTTTAAGGGCAACTACTCTCTGGCTACTTGCGGGGGAGGCCGCGTGGAGGCTGTCCTCTTGGCTATTGGAGAGTTGGCTGTCCAGAAGACCTGCCATTCCTCACCAACCTTTTGACATCCCCAGTCTGCAGGGTCCTCTGCTTCTGGCTGACACTGGGTTGCCTGGGCCCACACACAACCAGCCTGATAGGCAGCATGCCTGGTGTGTTGGAGTAGAGCTGCTCTGGTTGGTGGGATAGACTCATAGGGCCTCTGCTTTCTGGCAAACAAGTCAAGCCTGGCCTCATCCACAGTAGCAGCTGTGCTAGATCTGTCATACATGAGAATGACAAACTTCTCAAGCACCTCTATGTCGCAGTCCACTGTGGGAGGGTAAATACCCAGTTTGGCGAATACAGGCAAGGATTCTAGACATATGTCCCATGTATGCCAAGCCATTTTCTTGCCTTTGTTGCGGAAGGCAGACACAGTGTCACATCCTGTAAAGGCATGGAAGAAGAGCATGCCTTTGACCTTCTCCTGGCCAACATTCTGAAATATGTCATGCACACTGATCCAGCGCAGAGTCTGACCTTGCCCAAATGCAAGCCACATATGCTGTAGGCCAGCCTCTTGGAGATCGCTGAATACACTTATTGCTATGATCAGAACATCTGTGTCATTTGCCTTGATCATGATGGATTGGCTACCAGTTGCATGTTTGGCGTGCACAAAGATGTGGCTGTCCGCTTCCTCGTGAGAGCATTTATCCAGTCCATCAAGACCAGTTGCACGAGTGCTGAGGACAGCAGGTCCCTTTGTGATGATGACGGTATTTAGGGCAAACATTTGTGCAACCTTGTCGGCAAGGGTGGGACAACTCTGTTTTGTTGTCATTGTGCCTCAGGAAGTTATGTCAGTTAGATAGCATGGTGTTCTTATTTGTTACCTCGCGTCTTCCCCCCTGGCCATGTTTGGACCTGGTCTCAGCTTTAAGGCTTGATGAGTTTTACACATCAAAGACCAGATGTGTCATTGTGTACTTGCTGGAGTACATGTAGATCACAGGTAGGAAGTTGAGAGCTGCATAGTCCTCAAAAGTCTTGGATCTTTTTGGTGGCAGGGCGTGGTCCAAAGCTGACCCATCTACAATGAGACTTGTACACTGGCAAGTGTACAATTTTCCACCCTTGCTCAATGCAACAGGGAAGGACTGGTTCTCATGCTGAAAGAACCCCTGGAGGTCATGCTGAGTTACACAGCAGTGATATCACCAGTGTGCCCTGGTTGTGTGCCGATATTCACTCTATTACATCTGTATAAACATCTAAATTCTGTACTACAATGGCCCCATTGGATGCATAGACCAAAAATATGTGCATGCCAAATGTTAATGTTTCATAGTCACTAAAATTGGATTACTTCAAGGCAATGGCAGCCATCTTGGACACCATCTTGTTTTTCAAATTTAATGTTATAACCCTCATGAAAATAACAGATAATGGAAATGATATTTTCATGCAACCATCTGCACGTAACAACAATCAGTGTTACAAATTTCTCACTCTCCCAATTCTGTACAAGCATCTAAATGCTGTATCTCAAGAACCATAATGGATACAGAAATGTACTGGGTACCAAAATGTCCGCAATACCCAACTTTATATTCAACTTCAATATATGTATGGGGCTTAAAATCAAGTCATTTTGAGTTATAAAGGAAAAAACACATTTTTGGGGCGGACATCTTGGATTTTGGGGCCGCCATCTTGGAATTTTGCATGGCTAACGTTATTTTTGAAAAGAGTGGGGTTTGAAGAGTATATGTACCAAATTTCATGCTTGTATAACAAAGTGAACGATTCGGGCTATATTATGCATTTGTCTGCTCCACTAAATGAGTTGAAGCAGGCTGAGGGTGCTGGACACAGACATGATGGTTAACTTATATGGCTAAAACCCACAGGATCTGGATCAAATACGCCACAGGTAGATCAAATACGCAGCACATCCTCTCAAGCTCAGTGAGATCGGATGGGCAGCGTCGGTGCACAGCTACTTTCAGGTCTTTCCAAAGATGTTCAATCGGGTTCAAGTCTGGGCTCTGGCTGGGCCACTCAAGGACATTCAGAGAATTGTCCTGAAGCCACTCCTTTGTCTTCTTGGCCATGTGCTTAGGGTCATTGTCATGCTGTAAGATGAAGCGTCACCCCAGTCGAAGGTCTTGAGCGCTCTGGAGCAGGTTTTCATCAAGGATTTGGATGTACTTAGCTGTATTCATTTTTCCCTCGAGCCTGACAAGTCTCCCAGTTCCTGCTGCTGAAAAACATCCCCACAGCATGATGCTGCCACCACCATGCTTCACTGTAGGGATGGTATTGGCAAGGTGTTGAGCGGTGCCTGGTTTCCTCCAGACATGACGCTTGGCATTCAGGCCAAAGAGTTCAATCTTCGTTTCATCAGACCAGAGAATTTTCTTTCTCCTGGTCTGTGAGTCCTTCAGGTGCCTTCTAGCAAAGTCCAAGCAGGCTGTCATGTGCTTTTTACTGAGGAGTGGCTTCTGTCTGGCCACTCTACCATAAATGCCTGACTAGGTGAAGTGCTGCAGAGATGGTGGTCCTTCTGGAGGGTTCTCCCATCTCCTCAGAGGAACGCTGGAGCTCTGTCAGAGTGACCATCGGGTTCTTGGTCACCTCCCTGACCAAGGCCTTTCTCCCCCGCTTGCTCATTTTGGCTGGGCGGCCAGCTTTAGGAAGAGTCCTGGTGGTTCCAAACGTCTTCCATTTCTTGCTGGTGGAGACCATTGAGCATTTTGGGATCTTCAATGCAGCAGATATTTTTCTGTAACCTTCCCCAGATCTGTGCGCTGATACAACCCTGTTTCGGAGGTCTACAGACAGTTCTTTAGACTTCATGGCTTGGTTTGACGCTCTGACGTGCTCTGTCAGCTGTAGGATCTTATATAGACAGGTGTGGCTTTCCAAATCATGTCCAATCAGCTGAATTTGCCACAGGTGGACTGTAATCAAGTTGGAGGAACATTTCAAGGCTAATCAGTGGAAACAGGCTGCACCTGAGCTCAATTTTGAGTTTTATAGCAAAGGGTGTAAATATTTATGTATATGCAACATTTGAGTGTCTTATTTTTAATATATTTGCAAAATGTTCTAAAAAAAGTTTTTCGCTTTGTCATTATGGGGAGTGTAGTATTTTTGAGGGAAAAAAGGGATTTAATCCATTTGGGAATAAGGCTGTAACATAAAATGTGGAAAAAGTGAAGTGGTATGAATACTTTCCAGATGCACTGTATGATACACAAATGATGCAGTTGAACCGAGAGGTAGCAAAGATGAACCAAATCCATTTTTATTTTAATGAAGCGAAACCATCAGAGAGACCCAAGGTGAGGTTCCTGCAAGTCTGCTCTCTCTGCATTATCTGTGATTTTTGCTAGATTTTTTTCTTTTTGTTGGCTGCTGATGGATACTTTTGCTGGGCGAAGAGTTTACTCAAGAGAAGAGCTCCTTTTGCTGGGTGAAGAGTTTACTCAAGAGAAGAGCTCCTTTCATTGAGAAAAAACAAATCTGAACAACAACATACAATTCCAGAGGACATCAGGAGGTATAATCATGGTTGCTGTACTCGTGCAAAGGTGAAGGCAAAGCTGAATGCTAGGAGGTGGCGATATAAACCCTTTCTTCCATCAATCATCATGGAAAACGTCGACTCTCCCCAACTAAAGCTATGAGCTGGAGATATTGGTGAAGACTGAGAAAGCATATTGTGAGTGCAGTTTCCTGTGTTTTACCGAAACCTGGTTGAATCAATACAACTCGGACTCCAGTGTGGATCTACCTGGGGGGTATTCCACGAAGCTGGCTTAGCTCAAAGCCTGGCTTATTTTGGTTAGCTTGGCTAATTTTAGTGAGAGTTCGGTTCCACAAACGAGGCTTAGGTCTAGCATGGCTTGGTAACCATTGTAACTCAGCCAGCACGACAAGCCTGGTCCCAGGCAGGCTTACGGTCAAGCTAATCTTACCTGCGTCTCAGAGAAGGTCTGACTGGCTTCCAGAAGACGCTTTGTGAACCGCATGTCACACAGTGATTTCATTTTTATCCGTAATATAAAGATAAAGATGGGTGGGTGGGTGTTCTCCATGAGACGCCGGATGCAGACACTGGTTTGACAGCTCTCGACAACTTTGCCCATAATCCAACAAACTGTGATACAGTCATTGGATCCCAGTTGTTTTTTAACTGTATCTTTTTACCGGCCAAAGAATTTTAGAAATCGGACACGGATTTTAAGTTGCTTTTAATGAACTGATTTGCTGGATTGTGTGTAGCCGGCAGCTAAAGCAGCTAACCTTAGCTCACTGAACTAAGTTGCATCCGTTCACTATCATACACAATGGAGACACTCACCTCCTCACACAAGTGTAACAGCTGCCTCCAAAAATCTAAAGCGATCGCTGAGCTGGAACGCCGTATTTCCAGCCTCCACTGGATCCGTAATGAGGAGTTACTCCTGGACTCGGTGCTGATGCTGGGTGCAGACCTCCCTGTGAACCCAGCCGAGTTGGACTCGACCATCCCGGCAGCTGCTGCTCCGCAGGCTCCTCCTGCCCCAGCGGCTGCTGCTGCTGCCTCTGGCTCCCGACCTTCCCCCGCGGAGGCTCCTGCTGAGTCGGCTCGTCCTCAACCCAGGGACCCTTGGCTGTCTCAGGGTGCAAGGCCAAAGCGAGTGCCGGCTCCCGCACTGGACTTCACTCCACACCCGAGGTTCAACATACGGAGTTCCAACCCATGGTCCACAGCGGCTGCAAAGAGAAGGACCAGCCTGAAACCCCACTTCGATCTCCAGCTGTCCTCAAGGTATGATGTGCTCAGTGTTGCGGATTTTCCTCCGCTGCCAGGAAGGCCGGATCCGGGCCCAGCTGATGCCGGACGAAGTGCAGTCCCACCTCCGTCTGCAGCTGGGAAAGAGGAGGTGAACGGGGGTACGCACACGGGGCCTTGGCGCATCCTCGCCCACTGTTCCCCCCGACCATGGCAATCTTCGGAGACTCCATCGTGAGGCACATCCGTTTTTTTAATGCAGTAACCCACTGCTTCCCAGGCGCCACTGTCCCAACTCTCCTCCATAAACTCCTGGAGCTGCTGGGCTCACTCACATCCTCCATCACGAGGCTGGTTTTACACCTGGGTCTTAACGACACTTCCTCCTGTCAGTCTGAGGTGACCAAGGACCATATTAAGAAACTTTTCAAGGTTCTCACCGACTGCGGGAAGTCTGTTTTTATCTCGGGGCCCCTCCCCTCCTTCGACCGTGGCATGGGGCGCTTTAGCAGACTCCTCAGCCCGAACACCTGGCTCCATTCCGCCTGCCCTTGCGGGTTCTGTTTTATTGACAATTTTAACTTATTTTGGAACCGCTCCCCGTTCTACAGGGCTGACGGTGTCCACCCCTCTCGCCTGGGCAGCAGGGCGCTCGGCGACAACATCCGCCATGCTGTCCAGTCCACAAACACACCTACACGCACACCTACACACACACCGACAACAAGGTGACTGATTTCCCCCTCTTCCTCTGTGTCACTGTCCCAAGCCACTACCTCCACCACTAGCTCCCCCTACCATCCACCCCCAGTACTACATCATACTGCTGCCATTTCTCCTACAATCTCACCCTCTGCCTGTATAGTTTCACCATCACCTCACTCACAGTTCACCCCCATATCCTGCATTAAAGTCAGAATCTCGCATCGAGCCCACAGAACTTTCCCTTCACGGACCATCAACCTAACTCCTGTCACACTGGCTCCCATTTCACCACTTCCTGAGGATGAGCGCACGCTCGGCACGAACATTAATTTGGCCATGTTGAATGTGCGCTCGCTTTTAAATTAGACGTTTATTATCCATGATCTGATTTTAGACAATAATTTAGACATTCTCCTTTTAACAGAGACATGGCTTGGCACTGATGCTTCAATTGTTCTCACCGAGGCTTGCCCCCCTAATTTTAATTTTTTATTTTCAACAAGGGGGGGTAGAAAGGGAGGAGCCACTGCTTCAATATTCAAAAACACACTGTGCCCAAATGAACTTTCTTTTAACAGTTTTACATCATTTGAATATCACGCATTTGTTTTTAGCAGTCCTCCTACTCTCTGCATTACAATTTACAGACCACCCCATTACTCCAACTCTTTTATTAGCGAATTTTCAGAACTTTTATCAATCTTACACACTAGCCATGACAGGATTTTAATAACTGGTGATTTTAACTTGCACATTGATACACCTTCTGATCCAGTGTCCAAGGAGTTTTTAAACCTTTTAAATTGCAAGAGTTTTAAACAGCACGTGGCACGGCCGACTCACAACAGAGGGCACACCCTAGATTTGGTCATAATTCCGGCCTATCCACTGGTGTGTCCTCTGTTGTCGACCTGGCTGTGTCGGATCACTACTGTGTGTATTTTAATATCACCAGTTTTAACCATCAGGAGGCCCCGGTGAGAACGGTGAGGAAACGCTAAATAACCCCTGAAGTGGCTGCAAATTTTATTGGGATTTTACAGAGCACTCCTGCCGCAATTATACCTGCACCATGCGATTTTATTGTGGACTATTTTAACAGTACATTAAAAACCGCATTGGGCACAGTGGCTCCACTGGTAATGAAAATTATTAAAACAAAACCCTTACCGCCATGGAGAAATAACGATGAAATCAGAAACATAAAGAGAAAATACAGGAGTGCCAAACGCAAATGGAGAAAAACCAAATTAACAGTTCACCTTGAAATACTGCAGGAATCACTCAAAAATTACAATAATGCAGTAAAAAATGCAAGAACAGTCCACTTTTCAAAACTCATCACAGACCATAAAAACAATTCCAAATTCCTCTTTTCCACCATCGATCTTTTAACAAACTCCCATTTTAAAAAATCTTTTAAGACCCCCACAGACTTTGAGGACTTTGCAGACCACTTCAGGAGTAAAATAGATGATATTAGATCCAGTCTTTTAACTCATCAGAATGTGATTTTTGACACATCTGAACAGCCGATTTTACCTGAGAAAACACTGGAGAGTTTTGCCCTGGTTGACGCAAGGACACTTGGTCGAGTTTTCTCCCAAGTAAACCCAACAACCTGCCTTTTAGATCCGATTCCCACATCATTTAAAAAAATATTTTATGAATTTTTTGAGGAACAGATTTTAACCATAGTAAATTGCTCTCTTCAGACAGGTGTCTTCCGCCCTTAAAACGGCGGTGGTGAAGCCCCTTCTGAAGAAGAGCAATTTGGATACTGATGTTCTTAATAATTATCGACCCATATCCAATTTACCATTTTTAAGTAAAATCTTAGAAAGACTGGTTTTTAACCAAGTAAATTATTTCTTAAAAAGTAATAACATTTTAGAAAAGTATCAATCCGGTTTTAGGATGAACCACAGTACCGAGACAGCCCTTTTAACGATTTTAAATGATATCAGGTGTAATGCTGATAAACAGAAGCTCACAGTTCTGGTACTACTGGATCTATGCGCTGCCTTTGACACAGTAGATCACCAGATTTTATTAAGCAGACTCAGGCACCTGGTGGGCCTCTCCGGTACTGCTTTTAACTGGTTCAGTTCTTATCTCTCGGAACGATCCTTCTTTGTAAGTATGGATACCTGTTCCTCAAAAACTCATGAAATTAAGTGTGGGGTGCCCCAAGGGTCAATTTTAGGTCCAACACTTTTAAATCTGTATATGCTTCCCCTTGGGAACGTCATCAGGAGACACGGCATCAGCTTCCATAGTTATGCTGACGATACACAGTTGTACATCGCCGTGTCTCCTGAGGACACGGGGCCTATTGATGCCCTTTTTAACTGCATTTTAGATATCAAGTCATGGATGGCAGAGAATTTCCTACAGCTCAACCAGGACAAAACTGAAGTTTTAATTATTGGCCCTGAAGGCAAGAGAGAGAAACTTTTACCAAAACTACAAGATTTTAAACCCGCTCAATCTGTTAAGAATCTGGGCGTAATTTTTGACTCTGAGCTGAATTTTATTCCACATATCAAGAACATAACAAAGATAGGTTTTTACCATCTTAAGAATATTGCCAGAGTCCGCCCGTTTCTCTCCCAGGCCAACACGGAGGTGCTGATGCATGCTTTTATTTCTAGTCATTTAGATTACTGTAATGCCCTGCTCTCTGGTCTTCCCAAAAAGACTATTCACATTCTACAACTGCTACAGAATTCTGTGGCTCCTCTCGGTGTGAACGGCTCCCATAGGTGGTCTTTCCTCACCAGGATCCTGTTTTTACTGACAGTTAGTGTGTGTGTGTGTGTGTGTGGGGGGGGGGGGGGGGGCTGCAATGCATGCCTGTATGTGTTGCTGTGGGTGGGAAGGGACGGGTTTTATACTTATTTTATTGCATTTATATTTGCCGTTGTTTGTTTTTATCTTTTTTGTAAAGCACCTTGTGTTGCAGCTTGTATGAAAGGTGCTATATAAGTAAAGTTTGATTTGATTTGATTTGATAGTAAATGATGATAATAAATTGAGGTTGCCATAGTATTGGGCATGTCCGGATTCACGTATTCCTAAGTTGTTTTAAAAAGCGCTCAAAGAGAAAAAGAAATTCAGTAGCTGAGTGGGTAAAGAGAAGTGCTGGTAAAATGTGTTTTGCACTGCTCTGTGGGTTTGATCCCATCAGCGGTAATTATTTGGAAATATCGGATTTTCATTCTTTTATCCTGTGACTCTCAATGTACTGTCAACACATAACGGAATAAAGGCACAAACGATCTCATCCAAAACACCGAAGGCGACAACAGCAACAGTTTCCCATTAAATAACCTTCCTTTCACCAGTGGTCCATTCTGATTATGATGATGATAATGTAAAGGTGATGGCAAATGACGACATGACTACTCTGTGTACAAGCTCATTTGTGTCTTCTCCCTTATTTAAATGAAGGGCGCTGCGCCACCATCATCCCTAATTAAAAAAAAAGAAAAAGAAAAGGAAGACATCTCCAGGTACATGTTTTTTCTTCATTTTTTGTCTAAGTTTGTCTACTTTGGTTTTAGGTCTTACCTGTAGCTGCTATACTAATCCATTATGGATATCTATTTGTCAAATCAAGAACATGAATTATGCCTACAGTACAGTAGCGGTTCTAGGCAGCCGCCCGGGGCGGCATTTGTGTCATGACTCATGGGGGGCGGAACGAGCACTTCCAAAAAGGAAAGAAAAAGATAATAAATCTGCACCGCAAAGTGATTTTGTATTAACTCTTGTCAAATTGGTGCCCCTGCTTGCTGCGAAGGTGCTGCACAGAGGCTGACAGACTGTATGAGTGAGCTGCACATTGTTATGACAGTGGTCATAATTTGTAGACTGTCTGCTGTGTGTGTGTGTGTGTGCCCTGTGTCTTTTGTGTCAATCTCCTATGCAAATAGGTATGTGCCACAGCCGTGAGGTCATTGGTGGATTGGTCTACGTCCTGGACAGCGATTGGCTGAAACAGAAAACCACCTGCTATATGAGGAGCCAAGATGGCGGCCACCGGTGGCGGGGCTACAGGCATTCCTCATTCTCCTCCTCTCCCAACCGGCCACACTGTTTTGCTGTGTTAAACCGTTGTGTATTTTGGTAGTGATTGCTTTTGAGTAGTAAGGGTGGGCCAGTTTTGTTAACCTTATTTTCTCCTGTGTATTTTAGTTAGGGAGGTAAGTCTTTTGTCATTCGTTTCCTTTGTTTGGTTAGGTTAGTTACTTACTCCACAGACAGGATCATTTTGGTTGTTGTTTTGGCCTTGGTCCACCCTGAAGCCTAACCACTCAGCCTTAGATATTTTTCTATTTATACATGTTCATTTACTAATTTATGTAGATAAATCATTTTCTTTAAATTGAAACAAATCTCTGGTTTGTGGCTACTTGGGACTTGGGGAAGATGAGGCCTTATCATGTTGTGCCCTAGGCACCCCTAGACTGGGGCGTAACAACATACACGAGATTAGAAATTAAAAAAAAAAGTGTTTACAGTACATACGCATAAGTAAGGAATAAAATTAGACAGCCAAGCAGGCTGACTGCATCGAGACATGCGTCGGTTGTAAAATATTTGTCGGTTATGACTTACGAATCTAAATGGTCCGCGTTACTTAACCATGCCATCTCCCTGGCTTTCACAATGGCAACAGTGTTGCCCTTCTTTTGAATGTTTCCCTTGTACTTTTCGTACAACTCCATGAGGAGTGTTTGCTCCGCCGCTGAGAAAGACTCCGCTCTGCCCTTTTTTTTCATGATCTCGTCATTTCGACAATCGATATGTCAGGGCTTTTTATGTACCGCTGTGACGCGCATAGCCGCGCATAGCCACGGCTTGGATCAGCCTGGCTAGAATAAGCGTCTCTGAAAAACAGCTGAGCCTCGTCGCAGTCGCAGCTAAGATTAAAGTGGCCACTTATTCAAGCCACGCTTACTGGCGATAGCCCAGCCTTCTTTAGCCAGCTTCGTGGAATACCCCCCCAGTTTCACTCTTAT